GGAGCAGTCAGATGTTTGGCGTGGCCCTCAGACTCGCTCAGCACCTGCGACTGCGATGGTGAACAGTGGGCAAAGCGATTTGAGGGAGACTTTGGAAGTGGTAAAAGAAATTGCAGCTCTTCTCTTTGCAACTGTCTCAACTGGATGCAGACCCAGCAGGCTCAACAATGGGCGCAATTTCAGGAGGCCTTTCAGCAAGGGCATGATCCCAAGCTCCGGCCCTCGCCGCCTCGAATTGCGGTGCGTCGGAAGAAACGACTGATGCCAATGAAATTCCCATGAGGTTATTCGGCAGTTCAACATGGTTACCAGCAAGGCAGAATGGCTAAGCTGCTAACTTTTGCAAACCCTTTTTACCAGCGAGCTGACGGTGGTGCCGTTTCGATTCAGGCTTTGGTGTCTGATTTACATTTCCACGCAGTCGACAGGGAAGTGTGAGTGTGTGTGTGTGTGTGGGTGTGTGTGTGTTTGTGTGTGTGTGTTTGTTTGTTTGTTTGTTTGCTTGATTGATTGATTGATTGATTGATTGATTGATTGATTGATTGATTGATTGATTGATTGATTGATTGTTTGTTTGTTTGTTTGTTTGTTTGTATGTTTGTGTGTTTGTGTGCTTGTGTGTTTGCGCGTTTGTGTGTTTGTGTGTTTGCGCGTTTGCGTGTTTGTGGGTTTGTGGGTTTGTGTGTTTTTGTGTTTGTGTGTTTGTGTGCTTGTGATTTTGTGTGTTTGTGTGCTTGTGTGTTTGTGTGTTTGTGTGTTTGTGTGTTTGTGTGTGTGCGTGTTTGTGTTTGGGTTTGTGTTGTTTGTGTGTCTGTTTGTTTTAGAGGTTGCCCCTGCTCTTGTTGGTTTGGTGGACATTGGCTTAAAGGGCACGACAGGAGCTGAGTTTTTGTGCGGGGTGGGGAGGTGGGGTGGCGGGGGAAGTTGGATACCTACCTCTGTGGAGATGAAATCTAGTGAGTTCGCCCAAAATAGCAAGCTGTTGGGACAATATGATGGCTCCTTACTTGGGGATCGTTAATTCTGGTGGGCGAATGTATCTCCAAAGGAAGCCCTCGTCTGACGTGAAGAACCTTGCAGGCAGCAAGGCCGAACGCGCAGAAAAAACTGCACCGTGATTGCTGATGGGCAAAAGTTGCATCATTGTTTTCGCGCGCACGTCCCTTATGAAAGCCAACGGGGGATGTTCCTTAGCCTATGTTTTTTTGGAAACCAACAGGGGAAGAATGTTTCTCTCCATGCGCCCAGAACAGCCCCGCCAGCTGGATTGCTCCAAGAAAGTGCCCTGTGGCAACCCTGCCAGCAGCCGGCTAGTACCAAGGCAAGGAACTGTGACCTTTGCGCCGAAGAAGCCTGGCTGTTTGCTCTCCAGGGCACCAGAAAAAACATCCCATACTCCACTTCAGAGAGACCGCCGGTCTTTTGAGCAAGCTGTTCAACAGAATGGTGGAAGGTATCGCCCCAAGAATTTCGAGAGGAACGAAAGTGGCAAGTTGACACGCCTCCATTTGTGTGTGTGTTGTTTCTTTTTTTTGGTGGGGTGGGGGGTGGGGGGTGGGGTCCAAATCTCTACGTTTAAACAAGCCATATTTAAACTTTAAGGAACCAAACCAAACAACAAAGGAAACAAGCGAGCAAGCAAACAAACCAAAGCCAGTCGGGTTCGCAGGCCTGCAGGCTCGGCCTTTTGCCGGGGATTTGGAGCAGCTGCCGAGCTTGAAGCGAGGCGGGAATTGTTGGTTGGCCCCACAATGGTGGAGTTCTCCCGGTCGCAATCCCCCCCCCTTTCAAGCCAATTTTCCTTGTCGCTTTCCCTTCAAGCCAATTTTCCTCGTTGCTCTTTTTTTTTCAAGCCAATTTTCCTCGTTGCTTTCTTTTTCAAGCCAATTTTCCTCGTCGCTTTCCCTTTCAAACCCATTTTCCTGGTCGCTGTCCCTTTCACGCCAATTTGTCCTGGTCGCTGTCCCTTTCAAGCCGCCAAAAGACGGGGAGCACCCTAAAAAGAAGACACAGCATGCATGGGAAATACTGTGGATGGTTGCAAAATCCTCTTAGGCACCACCGTTCAGAAAACCCACGAAGATGATTCGATTCCCCAATATGGTTCCAACCATGGTTTCTTAGGTGGTGCAAAGTGGATTTTGTCCTGTCTAAAAGAGGAGTCGGCTCCTTTTTGGATGGTTTAAAAGGCCAACATGAAACCATTTGGAGGAATCGGTGCCCGTTTTGTTTTGGAGTCTGTACCCATTTGGTTGTGGTTTAAAGGGAAATCAGAAGGACACCATTGCCTTTTGGTTCAACCTGCAATGCCGTGCACTGTGCGTGCACTGTGCGTGCACTGTGCGTGCACTGTGCGTGCACTGTGCGTGCACTGTGCGTGCACTGTGCGTGCGCGCGTGTTGCGCCCTGGTGTTTGTGCGCATGTGTGCGTGAGTCTGTTCGCGCGCGTGCCTGAAACTGAAACTGTCTGCTACCCTGCCTCCATCACAGCGTCACAGCCCCACAAAGGTCACCCAGTGTTTTGTAATGCTCGTTCACAACTGGACTTATCTCGCATCTCGCGAATTCTGACAAACCCAGAAAGGTGGACACCAAGGGCCACGCGTTTCGCAATTCTCGTCCACAACTAAACTTGCCCAGGCGTGGGTCCGATGCGCACTCTGCAGCATTTTGTGTCAACTTGTCCAGCATGCCTTGCGAGCTCTTGCTGCCTGCTCGGCATCTCCGCCGCAAGACATGGCTTGGGTAAGAAGCGGTGGGGGAAGTGACCCTGTGCATGACTTCTCCGCAGTTGATGAGCCTGCTGGTGAAGTTGTCGGGGGCAACAAGTCCGTATACCTGGTCACACTGCCGGGACAAGCGCCGCGAGCTGTGGCACGATGAAATCTTGCGGGTTCCTGATCGTCTTTGACCATGTGCCGGGTGAGGAAAAACTGGCTTCGCACTCGAAAGCTTGACTGTTTTTAGGGAGAAGCATGCGTCTCTAGATGTAGATGCCAAGAGAAGCCGAAGTATGAAACTGATCAGGTTCGAAACCTATCTTAAGAGTTTCTTCAATGTTTGAAATTGCGCAACCCGAATGGCGAGTTTGCTGTAGGTGAAACTGACTGACACTGAAATTGTCTGGCTAGGGAGCGGAGTGAATCCTCCACATGAAAGTTTTTCTTTTGGTTTCCTTGTGCCTTGAAGGAGCTGTTTCGTGGGCCGGATCTCTAGATTCGCAGTGAGAACCAAGTGAACCCCAACGATTATCCCCCCCAAAACGGATGGCATCCCTTTAGTCTCCCTTTGAAAAAAAACACCTGAAAATGGGCAACAACAAAAACGGACCCACCCAGCAACCCAGAACACTTCCTTTTCGTGACTGTCCCATTCAACCCTTTGGGTCTCTTTGCAGCTCGTTCGGGGGGGTGGGGGGGGGCAGCTCTCAGCTCGTGTCAGGCGGCCGCTGGTCCTCCGGCACGGACCGCTCGGCCTTGGCCTTCTGCTCCCTGCCGGTGTCGGCTGGGGACCCACAAAGCTGGGCGCCTCTGGCTCGGGTTGTCGTCAAAAAACAGCTCTGGCTCTTCCGGGAGGGGACGACGGGGCGGGGAGGGCCTGGACGGGGGGCTCCCGAAACTCTAAGGATCCCACCCCTGCCTACCCCCACCAGATGGGATTCCACAAGAGGTCGCATTTCTTCCAGGTCTCCTGGGACAGAGGAGCTGATACAAATCCAGCAGCCTGAGCTGGCATGGACTCTTAGATGCCTCCGCCTCCAAAAAACACTTCGCCCATTTCAGCTTTCCGTTGGGCGAAATGGTTTGTGTCCGTGCTGGTTTACAAGGAAATCTATCACTACTGGAAATATACATTTTCCAGGGGGGCTTGGCAAATTGAGGACAACGCCGTGGGTTGGGTCAGGGGTGGGCTATTCGTAAACGTGTATGTTTGTGTTTGTTGGTTTGGGAGAGGGGGGTCCTTTCTGAGTTTCTGTCAGATCCGTTTCTGAAAGGTTCCGCAGTTGACATGTTTCCATAAGCAGCGCGACGGAGAAGGTGCAGCCATGTAGTTGGGATGCAGATCAGTCTTTCACGAACCTAGGGACGAGACGCACGCGTTTCCTTCATTCGCCCACATGGAATTCTGGCCTCCAGTGAGGGAGCTGGGTGTGTTTTGAAATAGGGCAATATTTTCTTATGGTTTCCCCCTTAAAAACGACCAATATAGGGGCACACTTCATGGGTTCCAAGCAGGAGGCATACGATGACTAATATGACAGACACTGCGCCGCAAGGCTCACGCTGTTCCCAGAAGGAGCAGCCAAATCAATAGAGTAGGCATTCTTCAAGTCTTGCCCATGTGCGCGGGTGGAGAATTATTGCGGTACCCTGTTTAATGTGTGGGGTTCCCCTCAGTGCAATTCTGTCGGTGCAGAAGCAGTTGAATGACAAGGTCTACATCCGCCAAACCCAACTCTGAAGGCAAGTGACATTCCCACTCATCAACTGACTACAGAGTTGGAGGGCCCCAGCTTTCCTTATTGTCAACCCGGATTCACAAATCCCTTGATTGCGATTGGGGGGTGTCTCCTTTTAGTGAGAATCCGGATCACTTGTGTGGGGCCCGATACCGTATGACTACAAGAATAATATTATGTTGCATCAATTAGAGTGATTTTATCTGAACTATTTAATTTGCGTGCCACATAGGACCCAATCTTCCCTGCCTCGGCCCGACCCCCCCCCCAGTGGATGGGCTAATTAGTCCAGGGTTCCTTAAATGAAGCCGGAAATCCAACGACTAAAACCGGTTTTGGCTCGCATCAACTGCTGAATCTGAGTGGGTCGAGTGGTACCCCTTTCCCTGTCCGCTCGTTTTCCTTCGCGGCGATGTCCGGTGGCGCCGTGGCGCCAGTCGCACGGCTTCGCGCCGGTCGCGCCAGTCGCCAGGTCTGCATGCTGGACATTGCGCTCACCGGTGCCTGGGCTTTAAATGCCCTTTTTCGGGTTGGTTTCCCAACCCTTTGAGACAAACCTCAGTTTACACCTATGGTCATTTGGATCCCATGGGGTGGAGCACAAATTGGGTGTGTGTGTGTGTCAAATGGGTGTGTGTTCTTTCAGGGTACCCTTTTTCGGGCTGTTTTTGTTGTACATGGCATGCGAAGGGAATGCTCGCACGGCTCCGGTTCGGATGATAGATTCGTAAAACAGGCGCTTGCGCCGTGCATGTACATGTCCCGCTTGCAATATGCTTGGTTGCACTTCGACCAGTCTGAACCTGTTGGATGGAAGACAGCTTCCATCCAACAGGTTGAACTCGAGGGGGTCAGTCTAAAGCAGCATCTTCAGAATGTCTCAGTGGCACGAAACCAGAAACTTCAGAAGCAGGAGGATCTCAGCAAATTGCGCAATTCCAATCGCACGCCTGCCCCTGCCTTGCTTCGATGGGCGCATGTCCACTGACGCAAGTGAGAGTGACGCAAGTCCATACCCAAATCTCGGGATTTCAGTTGAAATCCTGTAATTAGTGAATCTAGAACTTGCTATGGTTAAAGGCCAACCCACTCCCAATAGGGGCCAATAGCACCGAATAGTGCCCGTTGTTGGGCCCTTGCTGGGAGATTCCTTTTCTTGGGGCCTTGGCAACCATAGGAGATCTGTCATGTTTGGACGGCAAAAGTGCCAGCACCGTAGGGCTTCCCAATAGCAAAATGCCGCATCTTAACTTTTGCTTCGGGCATTTAGGTTTGGGCAGGTGCTGGTCGGTTTTTTGCAGGGTCAGGCTTTCTGCGTTTATTTCCGGTCGGTTCCTCCAAGACTAAGAGAGGGTTCGCTAGTCGAAGCAACTCGGATGCATCTTCAAAACCGGTTGCTGCGCAACATATTGATGTCAATTGACACCTCGTTGTGTTTGAAGTCTCCAGCGCCCTTCTAGGGCTGATTCCCTATTCTTTTCAACCATCATTCTTTTCAAAAACCAGCCGCTTTCGCTGGGTTTCCGGAGGTTTTCTAGAAAGAAGCATTTTTGGAAAGAATGGAAATAAAAGGTAGCCTCAGAGTCCGGCGGGCCTTTTGCGGGCTCGAAGCCTTAGGCCGGAGCGGGCGCCCGCCGGTGCTGGTGGGGGGCATGCCGGTGGGGGGCTACGCCTACGTGGACGGGGAGATGAAGGCGGGGGCCAGCGCCAAGCGAGTGCCCAGACAACCCGCGGCGCTTTGAATCGAACAGGTTGGCTTTTTGTTGGCTTTTTGTTCGGTAGGTTCCTCTCAGGCACGGGACATCCCAGAAGCCACAGAAGCAGAAGAAGAAGAAGAAGAAGAAGAAGAAGAAGAAGAAGAAGAAGAAGTAGAAGACGAAGAAGCAGAAGCAGAAGAAGCAAAAGTGGTTCTACGACCTGGTCTTGTGGTCAAAACATACCATGTTGGCACCGCAAGTCAAGGAGGGCGCCAGTCAAGCGAGCCAAGGATGCCTTTTGACACAGCATGGCTTGAGCGCTACTTCTATTGGGTTGGATCTTTAACCTTTAACTTTTGCGGAAGATGATGTTTTCCCACCAAACTGCAACAGAATAGTTTTGGGGATCACTAGCCATCATGTATGGGTAGCGAACTTGTCAAATTTACAAGTCATCAACATTTTCTGGGTGCCTTTGACAGGTTGAATCTTGACCCCATATTAACCAACCCCAGCTTTCCCATCCCCGCTTGGCTTGCAAAGATTGGCTCTCAGGGAAGCAGTACTCTGGGGGTTGAAGCCTGCTTAGGGACCGCTAGGAAACCGCTAGGGATGGTTCAGTGCGGGGTTCCTTCGTTCCTGAGAACCAGCAAGGGAGGGGTCCTTGTCCACATCCATAGAGCCCCTTTTATTCATTTCCCATGGTTTCTGGTGGGCAAAAAGAGCATTACAACCATCTCATGGCTGCCAGTTGCGGTGGAGAGCGATTTGTGAACACTCGCGGTTTATCCAAACGCTTCTGTGCTACTTTTGGGAATCTCCCCCCTTTATATTGGAGGTTAGTCTTTGGGAAGCCCTTTCTGTGGTATCACAGAAGTGGATTCCATGTCCCACAGGGATTTGGGCGGTTTTGGACAAGCGCCCTATGTGCTGTGGTTTGACCACCCCTCTTGGGGTTACTACTCATTCAGTAAATGGTTTATCTTAGTACTGATTAGGGTGGATCCATCCCAACTGTTGCAGGAGCTTGTGGACAGTAGGGGTCTTGGTAGACAACACGTGTATGGGTTTGTAAAGCAACCAGGACCGTGACTGGCATAGCGGCACATATGGGACCACGCATGTCAGTATATCTTAAATGGGGGCCCTAAAAACACTGCGCGAAAAGGAATCCTCCTGTTTTTGGAAGCACCCATATCCTCTTCAAGCATCACCCCACCAAAAGGAAGCTCACCTTGCAATGGCCCGAAAGGTGATGCTTCAAACCACCACAACTTAACAGAAAAGCGTGCTTGTTTGTCGATTGCAGTCGGGTGCATTCGCAACGGTTTGTGTGTGTGTGTGTTGGGGATATTCCAGCATCCCGGAGACATTCCAGAAAATTGAATTTGGGCTCTCGGCATTGCGCGACATTCATGCAGCTACGCTCAGGTGCAGCGAGCGCTGTTGAATGATTTCTCAAGTGCCCCAACAACCATGAATGCGAACCTCAAGCGCCAAAAACTGGACAGACCCCAACGACCCGCAGGTTGCGTATCGGCGCACGAATTCGAAGAGCTTGCCTCTCAAGCCCAAAGTCGTGGTTTCGGTACACACCTGGGCTGGGTACTCTCTTTATACGCGCACATCAGGAGACACATTGCTTTCTGGGGTGGTGTCCAACGTCACCTTTCGGTTGTCAAGCTTATTTCTGACTTGTCCTTAGAAACCAGGGTCATGGTTCAACGGGAACAGGGGTATGTCTCAAATCGGGAATAGATGTTATGTGTATATATGTTCCAGGCCGTGAACCCCCCCCCCCCTTGGTTTAGGCTTGGTGGGTTGGTTTAGGTTGGTTCAGGGTTGGTTTGCGGTGGGTTTCGGGTGGGTTTGGGGTTTGGGTTGATTTAGGCTTAGGGTTGCACCATGGGGTTAAGGAGGGGTTGCATCACGGGGTGAAAGGGGGAGTCTGGGACCGAAGACACGGACTGGACAGCATCCCTAGCATTGCCAGCATCATCCCTTGGGGGGGGTACGTGGCCCAGGGACTAGTACATATATATATATATGTATGTATATACATGCAGGAGTATTTATCTTAGGAGTTTGTTTTTTCCCCTTTTTTTGGGGGGGATTTTTTTTCCGCTTTTGGCTTCTTGGCTTCTTGGCTTTTTGGCTTCTTGGCTTCTTGGCTTTTCGGCTTCTTGGCTTTTTGGGTTCTCGGCTTCTGGGTTTTTCAGCTTTTTGTTGGTTTATGCAGCTTTTGGTGGCTTTTTGGCTTTGGCTTTTCGCATCCTCTGCATTCCCAGTTCCTCTTCGGCAGGTGGCGTTTTGGCTTTTGCTTTTGGCTTTTGCACCCTTTCATTGGTTTTTGGATTTGGCTTCTCGCATCATCAGCATCACCAGTTCCTCCCTATTTGAATCATCACTTCTTTGAACATCATGAAAAAACACCCGAACCCATCTGCTACTATTTAGATTGTTTGTAGAGTAATTGCACCCCTATTTGAATTAACACTTCTTCAAACATCAAGGGGGGGGGCTGCCGCCCCCCCCCCCAACCCCCCGCTACTTTTTAGATTTCTTGCAGAGATTGAATTGCACCTCTGTTTGAATCATCACTTTTTCGAGCGTCCAATGTCGCGAGAAATGCTGCAAAATACAACATTTTAGGTAATCTGTGCAATCCATGTATGTCTGTATGTATGCACTTCTTCGAACATCATAGGGGAAGCCACCCCCGCCAACTGCCTTTTAAATTCTATCGCACCCTTTCTTGAATCATTGCACCCCTACTTGAATCATCACTTCTTCCGACATCATAGGGGGGCTGCCGCCCCCCCAACCCCCCCGCTACGTTTTAGATTTTTTGCAGAGATCTAATTGCACCCCTCGTTGAATCATCAATTCTTCGAACATCATGGGGGGGGCTGCCGCCCCCCAACCCTCCCCGCTATTTTTTAGACTTTTTGCAGAGATTGAATTGCACCGACGCTTGGAGTAAATGTTGCAGCCAAGAACCCTCAAAAACCAATACTTGAAATGAAGGAGGCTAAAAAGAAACAAAAAACCTAAGTCTCCACCACACTCACCCACCTCCCGGTTTACTCAACCGGTCAGGCCTCGGGCGCCTTTGGAGTGGTGCTGGAGGGCGCCGGCGGCCACAGGTCGGTCCAGCTGCGCGCCATGGGTGTGTCTTTTTTCCTCGGGGGACCACCCCAAAACCCATTGGACGGTGGGTTTTCCTTTTTTTGGGGGGTCTTTGTTTTTCTAACCAAAACGGTTGTTTTGTTTGGGGGGTGGTTCTTGTTTTTCCATTGAAGCCAACCACAAAGGGGTTTTTTCCTTGGTGGTTTTCCTGTTACGACCAAGCAAAAAGCGGGTACTAGACGAAGGCACGCCACTATAGGCCATGTTAGGCCAGCGTCCAAACCACCAAACCAAATCACCAACTAGAGGGAAGCTGATTTTAGAAAGTGGTCCTGTCTGGTTTCACAAAGGTTAACATAGGGCGGGCATGCAGCCACCAGAACCACGATTGTAGAATGTTCCATGGGTGATGGTCATTGCTCATATTTCGGCATTTTAGACAAGAAAGGACCGCCGACAATTGTTTACCCTTCTATGTGTTTGTGTGTTGGTTCATTGGTTTTCTTTAAACAAATCCGAGCGCTCCTCTTTCCTCCACTTTCTTGTTTGCTTTCTTTCTTGCTGTCTTTGATGTTTGTTTGATTTGCTTTGTTCTTCGTTGAGTCCTTTGTGTAGTGCTTTGAGCCTGTTATTTGTTTTGCGATGTTCCTGTTTTGGAGCGCCGTTGGTTTTGTGAGGCGCTCCTCCTTTGTGATGCTTTCTTGAATCTGTTTTG